ATGAGAGTGAGAGAGTGAGTCAGTGAGTGAGAGAGTGAGAATGAGTGAGTCAGTGAGTGAGTGAGTGAGAGAGTAAGAGAGTGAGTCAGTGAGTGAGTGAGAGAGTGTGAGAAAGTGAGTGAGTGAGAGAGTGAGTGAGTGAATGAGTGAGTGAATTAGAGAGTGAGAGAGTTAGTCAGTGAGTGAGAGAGTGAGAATGAGTGAATTAGAGAGTGAGTGAGTGAATCAGTGAGAGAGAGAGTAAGTGAGTGAATGAGAGAGTAAGTGTGAGAGTGAGTGAGTGAGTGAGTGAATGAGAGTGAATGAGTGAGTGAGTCGCTACCATTGTGTTTTAATTAAAAAAACAACGTAGGTTTTTTTCCCTTGTTAGTTAAAGGTTGGGGTTGCAGATGAATGAGTTCTAAGGAAGCTAACAGAATTCCACAAAATCTGGTCACGTATTAACAGAATTCCACAAAATTGACGTTTTCTAGAAGGAAAACTTGTAGATATGTGGTAGCACATGAGCAGCACAAGAACAATATGAACTAATTTATTCTAGGTCAAATGCTTGTGCCTCAGTCAAAGCAATGAGTGCGTTTTAAAGGTTCAGTCACTTAGAGAAAGAGGTTGTCAGAACCAGGCAAATCAAAACTAACCATTTTCTAGATACCAGTCTGGAGGTAAACATTAAAAAAAAGCAACACAAAAATTTGTTTTTCTAAAAAAAACACACCTGATTACCAACTTCATATGGAGAGGGAAGAAGCCCCGAATTAGCAGAGAACTCCTCAAGAAGAAGGACAGAGTGGGAGGGCTTGTTCTACCTGACTTTAGCACATATTATACAGCACAGTGGTCAAAACAGTGTGGTACTGGTAAAACAACACATATTCAGACCAATAGAAAAGAGCTGAAAACCCAGAAATAAAAATATTAGCATACAGGCAACTGATTTTTGTTAATGGCCCAAAAATATCCAATGGGAAGCGGATGCCCTCTTCAACATGTGGTGCTGGAAAAAATGGATATCTACCTGCAGAAAAATGAAGCAAGACCCTTACCTCACTCCAAGCATAAAATAAACTCAAGGTGGATCACAGACCTTGAGGTAACACCCTAAACTATTAGGGCCATTAATGAGAGAATTGGGACAAACTTGAGAACCTTGGCACAGGGAATACATGGGCTATCAGAAATAGGGAAGGATACAAATACAGAGGAGTCACAAATTGCCTAGTGGGATATACTGAAGATAAATCACTGTGTACATCGAAAGAATTCACTGAGAGAGTAATAAGAGAGCCCACAGACTGGGAAAACATCTTTAGCAATGACACATCAGACAAAGGTCTTATTACTGACATCTGCAATACTTTGCAAGCTTACAATAAGAAAAAAACTAACTGCCCACTAAGGAGGTGGGAAAAGGACCTGAACAGAAGTTTCACAGAGGCAGAAATCCGAATGGCCAATAAGCATATGAGAAAATGCTCCTGATCATTAGCCGTAAGAGAAACACAAATTAAAACAACAATTAGATACCACCTAACACCCTCAAAGATAGCCCAATTCAAAAACTCAGAAAGTAACAGGGGACTGTGGAGAGAAAGGAACTCTCATGAACTGTTTATGGAACTTTAGGTATATACAGCCATTATGGAAAAAAATTGCCTATATGTAGAACAGATGAAGATTGAGCCACCATACGTACCAGCAATCCCCCTACTGGGCATACACCCAGAAGAGGCAAGAAAAAAACCACGGCCAGACACCTGTGCCCCAGTGTTCATCGCTGCACAGATCACAATTGCAAGGAGCTGGAAACAATCCAAATTTCCATCAACAGACGAATGGATCAAAAACCTGGTACATACATACAATGGAATACTACTCATCCCTAAACAGCAGCGATGAACGCATGAAGCATATTGATGCATGGGAGGAACTGGAGGAAATCATGCTAAGTGAAGTAAGCCAAGCACAAAAGGACAAGTACAACATGAGTCCACTGAGATAAGCTTAAAAAAAATGGGGCCTAAGGGAAAAGCTACTATATACATACCTCCCTGGGGTGAGGTGCAGCAACTATGGCAGGGGCCAAACCCAGCCCAGGGATACAGACGGCAGCCAATTACATAAGGGGGGCGGGGGGAGAAGAAGAAAAAAGACATAGGTGGGGGGGGGCAGGGCACTAACCTACCCAAGTGTATTGTTTATATCTCCACAGGAGACAGAGAGAGAGACCAGGCTTCAACCCAATGCACCAAGATGTGAATACAACATATGGACATGCACCAGGGAACCAATAGAGAGGTCTGTGGGGTCGGCCCCAATCCCAACTATGTAGGCCCCCGCCACCACCTCCCCGGCCCCCACACCACCCGCTTAAGTAGAATGCACTTCAGAGGACAGCACTGGGGCTACAGCTTGGGAAGAGAGGCATGTCTGATTAGAGCACACAGGAGAAATGAAAAGGGAGGGAGAGGGAGGGGAGGACATCCTGGCCCACCAAGCCCCGAGGATGATGTTCCTGCTATGAGCAGACAACGCACAGAGGACCACAGAGCTGGTCCCACCATGAGAAGGCTGTTCCTCACTAACCCATGGTGTTGTGGGGGACAACACTGGAGAAACAGTGCAGGAATTGTGCACAGCCGGACCCTATCATGTTGGGTAAAACACTAAAGGCATGCAACAGAGCAGTAAGGGGAGCAAATGATTAAATCCCTGGGGAATACCAAAAATAAACTTTGGAGACAAGAGGGTGGCACCCTATCAGACTCGACTGGAAAACACTCGGAATGGCAAATGAACAGATCTTGAACTGTTTATAGGCTTTTTCACTGATGTCAGTGGCGTTCTTTTTGTTGTTTTTGTTCTTGTTGTGGTTGTGATTGTTTTGTTGGTCTTGACTTTGTTGTTTTGTTTGGTTTTGCCTGGTTTTTGCATTTATTAATACATCTGCATGTCTATCTCGATAAGATAGGAGGAATAAAGAATTTGGAGATGAAAAGAATGCGACCAATGGTTCCCAGGGGTGGGGGGTGGGATAAAGGCAAAGCGGAGGTGGGAGAAAGGAAGGGGGTGGAGGGAAACCAACCCAGGGGCAAGGGAACAAGGAGTGAACTAAAATCAATGGAGAGAAGGGCGTAGTGGGGCTTAATCAAGGGCTATGTAACAGCGAGGAATTACTAAACCCAAATGAAGGCCAAACATGATGGTGGGACAAGGAAAGTAAAAGGAAATAGAGGAAAGAACCAGGGGACAAAGGACATTTATCAAAGTCTAAATACAGGCATATACATATGTAAGTATACATATAATGAGTGGGGAATAGAACTATGTACTCATATCTATATGTTAAGAATTAAGAAAAAAAAAGAATTAAGGTTGCAGATGGACATTGGGCCTAGACTCAAGTGCTCCCTCAACACAAGAACCCTTTGTTCTAATGATCCTGCATTCTGTGATGCTCACCTTCCTGACACAATCACTGAAGACAAAATGGGTGCATAAGCAAATGTAGGGAAGAAAGTTGATGGTGCCCAGCTATCAAGACATCTAGGGTCTGAAATGCTTGAAGATAAACAAGCGGCCATCTATCTGAGAAGCAATAAAGCCCACATACAAGCAGCACACCAACCTGTGTGATCATGAGGGGTTGATAGGATGAGGTATCAGGCATCTAAGACCCAGAACAAAATCATACCCAAGGTGAATGGGGAGTGGGAAGGGGGCATAGAGTAGAGACCCAATGCCCATCTGTAGACAATTGAACATCCCCTCACAGAAGTGTCACAGGGAAGAGATGAGCCAGTCAGGGTGCAGTATAGCACTGATGAAGCACACAACTTACCTCTAGTTCTTTGGTGCTTCCTTCCCCCCACTATCATGACCTCAATTCTACCTTACAAATCGGATTAGAACAGAACATGCACACTGCTACAGATAAGAGCCTGCAACACAGGGAATCCAGGATAGATAAACCCCTCAGGGCCAACAAGGAGATTAGAGATACCAGGAGGATTTGGGGGGGGGGGGCCCTAGGGGGAGAAAGGGGTAATGGATCACAAGGATTAACCTAGAACCCCCTTCCAGGGGGACAAACAATGGGAAAGTGGGTGAGGGAGGATGGAGAGTGATTTAAGATATGAAAATAATAATCTGTAACTTACCAAGGGTTCATGAGGGAGGGAGGGTGGGAGAAGGACAGGGAAGAAATGGGGAGCTGATATCAGGGGCTCAAGTGGGAAGAGAATGCTTTGAAAATGATGATGGCAGCATATGTGCTTGACACAATGGATGTGATAAAAGATGTAAGAGGCCTCAATACAAGTATTTAATAAAAAAATTAAAAACAAAATAAAAAAAAAAATTTTTTAACAAAATAAAAATTTGTGGCTCATTTTTCCCCCCTACAGTAAGCTCATTTTTAAAAAAAACATTTTTTTTCCTTATCCTTCTCTTTGCTATGGATTTACTTCCAGCAGGTGGGAAAGTCTGGCTCCACGGGTGAAGGTGAAGGAGAGGAAAAGCATTAGGGCCAGCCTACAGAATATGAGCAAATTTTCCTTTTCACTTTCAGTTCTATTCTTTTTAGGCTTCATGTCTCAGGCTGGGACATCAAGCTGTGAGGCAAAACCAAAGCTGAGGTGAAACCATTCCTCTCCAAGTTAAAGACAGACGCTGAAGGGCAACACACTGACTTTATGACGTCCTAAATTGTCAGGCATTGATTCCCACATTCCTATAGTGTTCATTTGAGAGTTGTCTGAAGCAATAAAAATTTGGAAAACAGTAGAAACTTAGAAAAATACAGCCACTCATTTGTAAAGTTAAGAAAAATTGTAAAATTAATGGAAAGGTGGAATCTGATCATATATAATTTTGGTGAGCATACACAGTATGGTCACTCACTGGCTAGAACTGTAATAAGTGACAAGAATCCTTCCTACTCCCTTTCTTTATATATAACATTACATGATCACTTACATCCTCTAGATGAATATTATCCAGGTCACAGTTGCTGTGTACTGTTTCAACCAACCAGCCTTCTGGAGTAATCATGTTTAGGGTTAGAAGGGGTGATTCAGGGATATCCAGGAATTTTGCCACTGGTCCAAGAGAATTAATGTCATTGGCCCCTAACATCACTTCTGGTTCCAAAACAAAGCGGTAGAAGCTGTTGATAACATATAAATAAAAAGAAAATTTTGACCAATATTGAGATTATTTCCTCTAAAATTCTTTAAAATGAAGAGTCTTATATATAGAAAATTGTATAAAGTCTTAGGTATAGATGAGAAACACACTATTCAGCTAAGTACATAGGGAAAAAGCACACAGCCAGTATGATAAAAGATGATTAATTAAAAAAAATCATGATCAGAGGACACTGTATTAGAGCTTAAAAATCTGAGCATCATGGCAGAAAGCCATGGATGACAGTGAAATTCCAAATCCACTTAAAAAGCCAGCACCACTGATTAAAGCTTGACTGAACTTTCTCAATGTACTCACCCGCGGCGTGAAGAATCTTGTCCTTAGACAGAGTGCATTAGAAATTGGATTATTGCAGATATAATTAGGCAAAAAGTTAACAGTTTAATATTTGTTTCTCATTTTGACCCATTTTAAACTTGTGTTAATTATTTTTGGTTTTCTTTTGGATTGAGGTTCATCTGCATTTTATTTTGTCATTATTGTTACCTTTTTTGTACTATTTTCTTTCTATGAAATTCAGGATAGATAAATTTATTGAGACTGTAACTAGATTAATAGTTTATTAGGGTTATGGCAGGGGAGGTTGGGGAGATGAGGAGCTAATGAAAATGGCATAAATATGAAAAAATGCTCTAAAATTAATTGTGATGAATGCAAAGCTCTTTTTAATCTATTGAAGTCCCTGGATCATATCATACATGAGTTATACATTGATAACATGGTTAAAGAGACATGAGCCTTATTAAAGATGCTTCATATTTACACAACTTGAAGAATATAAAAAATGTCACCATATTGTATATGTAGAAAATGTTGGTGTATGTCCTGCTGTGTATACGCCTAACAAGAAAAAATTAAATTACTTTTAAAAAATATACTATAATGTAGAGTAGTTAATGGTTGTAATTGGTAGAGAATTTTTGCTTAATTCATATTATTTAAGAGTGTGTACACTCTATACCCTAATAACTTAATAAATATAATTAAAATCCATTTAAAATATACTGACATATGCAGTTTTATTATTGTAATTTATACATGACTTGCATTCATTCATCTATAAGTTTCCACATTTGACTATGGGCAAGTTTCAGCCACTTTTATTAGTTCTTAGGACCATTAATCATACAAAGTGAAATGATTACCAGAAAACAAAGAAATTGTTTAGATGGCAATTCTATGTTTAACTATTTGAAGAATTGTAAATTATTTCTAGAGTAGCTGAGTCATTTAAAAATCCCACAAGCAATGAATGAAGGTTAAAATTTCTCCACACCTTTGACAACATTTGTTCTTTTCTGTTCTGATCACTGTCAGCTCAAACTTGCTGCCGAATCCTTCAATGCTTTTACATACCATTTATTGTATGTTTCAGCCCTAGTATTTATGTTTGGTTCATTTCTGTAGTTTCCCTATCTTTATTGGAATTCTTAATTTGCTCTTGTATTGTTTTCCTTAAATTCACAATCTATGCTGCTTTACTTATTTTAATAGCTTGACATTTTAATATTCATTTTTGATACTATTCTTTTAAAGTGTACTTTAGTGTACTCTCTGATGACTAATACTGTTGAGCACCTTTTCGTGTGCTTGTTGACTATTTCTGTATTTTCTTTGAAGAAATGTCTGTTCATATCCTTTTCCCATTTTAAGATTGGGTTGCCGTTTTCTTGAATTATAAGAGGTATTTATATACTCTAGATTCAAATCCCTTATCAAATATGATTTGAAAATATTTTATCACATCCTATGGAATTTCTTTTCATTTTCTGATAACATACTTTTCCTTTCTTCATACCCTTGACAGTATTTTATGGTTTGTGTAATATACCATTACCTATTCTAAAATAAATTCAGTGTCATTCTATGTTTAAAATAGAGATTTACATCAAGAAGTAATTAGAAATCAAGAATGTCTCTTTCAACTCAAGCCTCTAAGGCCAATGCTCATCCATAAGTTCCTCTTTAGACTCATATCGCCACCTGCTGGTGGCACTGACATGAACTGGGAAGCAGCCAGATCACAGGTCTGTGGATGCACAGTTGATGGAGACATTGCAAGATGCCGACAGCTCTCAGAGTGTGTAGCAGAGTCCCAGCACGCAGGAAGATGAAGCTGCAGGGGCAGACATCGTCTCTGTTCCCTTTGCTCTTATACAAAAGGCATATGACATCAAGGGGGCGTCACTAGGCTGCGACTTGATGGCCAGGTTTAGCTCCACCCCTACCCAGGAGTGTCTACTTGACATAATCCCTAACTACCACACAAGTGATATAACGGTCTAATTTCATTCTTTCTTATGCAGGCATCCAGTTGTCCCAATACCATTTGTTGACACAACTACTCTTTCTTACTGAATGGTTTTGACTGGGCAAGGATCCACTTCCAGGCTCAATCACAACGTTTTTGTTGATTTAGTTCCTCAAGGTCTGTTGAAATAAGGGCTACATTTTCTTGCTAGATGCAATCTACCTTGAGTTCCTAGCCACAAGGATATCTTCACATTCCTTCATCCGAGCAAGCAGACAAGATGCCAGAGAGAGAGAATGATAGGAAGTTAAAAGCAAGTCGTGCATAATATTACTACAGAGGAGATATTCCATTACTTTTGGTATATTTTCTCCATGAGAAATGGGCGATGTACAATTCTTGGAAGACTTACGAACAGAATGCACCCTAGAAGTGAGGAGGGACTATTGGCTTTCAAAGAGACACCTGATTTTGCTCCCGTAACAAAAAGGCTGGAGGTAGGTATAGGAGAAAGTTGAGGATATTTCTGTTGATCGCCTCTGAGACGTATGAAGAAATATTTACTGAAAGTAGTTGAGAATTAATGTTTACACTAGTCTTCTGGCTATTCGGACTGAGTAAATAACAGTTGAGTTTTTGAAAAATGATGCATTTTTTCTGTTTCAGTCTTCTATATTATTATTAATAAGAAAGCCCGGTGGCTTAGTGGGCTCCAAGTTTGGCTGCTAATTGCAAAGTCAGCAGTTCAAAACTCTCAGCCTTTCAGCAGGAAAAAAAAAAGGCTTTCTTTTCTTGGAAGGATAGCTTTGAAAAACCCACCAAGGCCATTTTAGTCTGTCCTATAAGGCAACGACGATTTGGATTGGACTTGAGAGGAGTTTGGTTTTAGGTTTAAGTTCTATCACCATTCAAAACAAAGCACATTGTAGGGAACCGATTACATGGAACTGTGTGTGACCTCCTCCCTGGGGGACAGACAACCAAAAAGTGGATGAAGGGAGACGTCGGACAGGGCAAGATATGACAAAATACCCATTTATAAACTATCAAGGGCTCATGCGGGAGGGGGGAGCGGGGAGGGAGGGGGAAAATGAGGACCTAATGTCGGGGTTAAAATGGAGAGAAAATGTTTTGAGAAACGATGTACAAATGCGCTTTACACAATTGATGTGTGTATGGATTGCGATAACAGTTGTATGAGCCCCTAATAAAATGTTAAAAAAAAAAAAGAAAGAAAATGGAAGCATCTAAACAAATAAAAATGGTTCTTAGCCGCCACAAAACCAAAAAAAAAACAAAAAACAAAGCACATTGTGTTGTCACCTTAAAGAATCAAGTGCTTTCCCGCTCAACAAATTACACCTTCTTGAGTCAGAATTGATTTGATGGTGGCGAGTTTAGTATATACTCAACGCTTCCATTTCTTAGTATACATCCTAAGGGGCTCTGGTGGTGCAACAGTTTAAGCACTGGCTGCTAACTGAAAGGTCAGTTGTTCAAATTCATTAGCTTCTCTGCAGGAGAAAGATGAAGCCATCTGTTCCTCTATCCTATCGGGTCACCATGAGTCAGAATTGAATTGGTAACATTGTTGTTGGTGTTTGGGGTGGTGGTGGTGGTGGTGTGAGTGGGTTCATGGAGAGGAGTCTTACTTGTATGAATACAAATTTTGCATGTTATTAGTTTCATAGGCTTGCGGAAACAAAGTACAACAAATGGGGTGATGTTACGGGGATTAGTTCATGTGCCCTTTATTCTTGGTTCTTCTGATAAACTTAGTTCCTTAATAAAACTTAGTTCTTTAAAATATTTTAGGGATAGCCCATGTGAATGACAAGCGTATGTGGATTGGATTACAAAAGCCCAGAACATAAAGATTTGGGGGTTTCCTGACTGATGAGAGCTGAGAGGGACAGTGCAACCCTTGGGACACAAAATCCCCTCACTGAAAACCCTCCCAGATATGGTTCAGAGCTGTTCCAGTTATGATTGGCATAGCATGGAAGTCTATAGCCAAGAGACATCATGGAACATTTATTGTTTGAAGAGCTTCCTGATTGCCCAAGGGAAGGTCAGCCACTCAACTTTGGGGACCTTTCTAGACCTTGTCTATGTGTGGCTTCCTGAGTTCTAAGTTGTGTCCTGTTATTTCTGATTTGACCCTAATAAACCATATACCTATTCAGTATAGTCTGAGTTAGGTGAAACATGATGGTGAATGATTTAATCCAACAGAAAAAGAGTGCCCTGATGTGAGTGACTGGTATCATAGATAATATATAAGATGGAAAGTGGGGGTTGTCTGCCTTCTTCCTCACAGCAACTAGTTTAATGCTGATTCTTATTTCTGAAGTTATTCCTTAGAAATATAGCAATTTACTTACTATCCTGTAGGTTAGTAGTCTGAATTCAGGACATCAAAAAGGAAATGTTCTCTCAAAACGTATTAAGGAAAGATCTTTTCTTTCCTGATTTCTGGCAGCCTCAGACATTCCATGGCTTGCAGGTAACACATTGCCACATGGCTATCATTTCTTTATGTGTCTCTTCTGCTCTTTTATTAGACACTACTCAAATTGGTCACTGTGGATTGGGATTGATTAGATGGCAGTGGGCTTGATTTTTATTTGGGAGGGCTGGGGTGGGTTACTCATATTGAATTCCAACTCAAACTCACTACCATCTACTAGATTCTGACTCACAGCAACCCTATAGGACAGAATGGAACTGTCGCTTTGGGTTTCTGAGGCTGTAGAGTTTTGTTGGCACAGAAAGCCTCACCTCTCTTCCTAGTAAGCAGCTGGTGGAGTCAAACTGCCGACCTTGTAGTCAACAGCCCAATGGATAATCGACTACACCAGAAATATAAAAGATAAATGAAAATGGAATGAGATCTGAGGATAAGATTCTTAGAAGCATGAAACAACAAGGATTAAATTATTTATACTTCAAGTATAATCCCACATTTCCTCTTACATTTTCTAAATGTATCATTTTATTGCTTTTCAAATAGTAAAAATATTAGTTGTTAGTCAAGTGGCTTCAATTCATGTGTAAAAGGACAGTCTCTGTGTCATCTTTACAATTATTGCTGTTTGAATTCACTGTGGCTCCTGTGTAAATTCATCACTCTGAGGGCTCCCCTTATTTTCAATGGGTCTCTCTCTACCAACCATGATGCCCTTTTCTGATGTGAACCAAGGGAGTTGAGGTCCACTCTCATCACTTCTCAAACACATCTGCTTCTATTTAACATGGACTTTTTTGACAGTTTATATTCATTTGCTTATGTACCCGCTTTGTCTTCAGCATTCGTGTTGGGGTAGGCTGGTGTGCTTCTTCCTTGTGGGATTTGTTGTTTCTTAGCTAGATGGCCGTCTGTTTGTCTTCAAGCCTGTAAGA